GAGGGAAGGAGCCCTCCCTCTCCTCCCTCTCCTCCCTGCCACTGCCCGCGGCGCCGGCCTCGCCGCGCTGCTCAGCCGCCGGACCGCCCCGCCGGTCACAGATACAGCAGTTACAGAGCCCCAGGTGGTAAAATACCCGAGATAATAAATCATTTCTGTAGGCTTAAGGACCCCATGATTGCTAAGGTATGGCTGTGCTTAATTATGTGAACCACTACGTGCGTGTAAGGAATTAAAAAATATATTTTTCATATCAGATTATAGCGAAAAGATTACTGGTTTTTTATATAACCATTGTTTTTTTCGTTGATGTTTCTTGACATTAGAATAGTGCTGCATTTTAGGAAATTAGACCCTGAGTTGTAACTGGGGACACTTAACGGTCTGTGTATTTTCTCAGAAAACTATTCAGTATGAATCCCAGAGCTGTATTTATGCCTCAGAGCAGCCCTGGAAGATGAGAGGAGGGGGAAAGAAAAGAAGGGCACCATGCTGCATTTTTGAGTTATAAGTAAAGCCATAGTCCTGAAACTGCTTTTTGGATGTCTTCACACTGAAATCTATAGCCTACCCATGTTTGGCCCAAGTTGCTTTACCACTCCATGCAAAATAAGTTTGCCAGTCCCTTTCTAGCACTACCCAGTAGCTGACTGCTTTTATGAAACAATGCTGAAGGGCACCCCAGGATGCTATCTCTGATCCCACTGCTCTGAATAGCTCATGCTGTTGATGTGGAAAGACCTTCTTGGTACTGGAATAAATACAGATAAACAAAACCAAAGGGGGTTGGCTAAAAAAGGGGGGAAATCTGTTAGAACAGATTTTTTCTGATAGTAAAATTTCAATGGGCCAATTAATCTTTCAAGTAAATGAAGCCCTTTTTAAAATGTTCAGCAGCATCCACCTTTACTTTGAGAATTCAGAGGCTTCCAAAGACGATAACTGTAACTTCTTAATTTTTTGAATATTACAATTTTAAATATTTTTTTTCTAAAACAAGTCGCACATTACTTCATTTCTGACAAAAATGAGAGAAGAAAACGTATTGCAAAAATGTGACAAATCAGGTGGTTAGGGATGCAAATATAAAACGTGCTTATAAAGACAAACATATCAGACTGTCACTCAAAATGGTGTCATTTTTATTGCCATTTTCAGTATGAAATGCTGCCCTGTAATTGGTGAAAGGCTTGCACAAGTGGCATGAAACACATGGTTCATTTCCTTATTGCCCAAAGCTAAATTTACACACAAAACTTCTCAAAGTGGACTTTTTCATCCGTGCTTCACCTTTTTTATGCTAATGTTCATTCATTCAAATGTAGAATTTGAAACTGCAGAAACTCTTCTAAATTCAGAAGTACACATGCTTCTTGAACATCGTAAGCAACAGAACGAGAGCGCAGAAGATGAGCAGGAGCTTTCAGAAGTCTTCATGAAAACCTTGAACTACACAGCGCGATTCAGCCGCTTCAAAAACCGTGAAACCATTGCCAGTGTCCGTAGGTGAGTGGAAGAGTTAGGGTATAAGACTATACTGGAGAATTCAGTATATAATACTGATGTTGCTTTATGAAAGTACAGTTTAGTGGTGTTTCCTGATTTGTACTACAATTCTGAATCTTGCCTTTCTGAAGAAGCAAGAAATTTGATCATAATTCTTCATGGGGGGTTGCGCTTTGCCTGGGTCAGGCCTTCTAAACCGCTTTGTTTTCTGTATTTAAATGACAGCTGGTTGCAGTAAATGGGAGGATTTTCGAGACTTTGTAGAGTAATTCTGGGGAAGCGGAGTTAACAGATGTGACTTTTTTTCCTCTATGCAATCATATGAGTCTTTCCTCTTGAAAAAGTATTGACTTCAGTGCCAAAAGCAGAGTGAAAAAATATATCTATTTGGTTTGGTTTATGCCCTTCTATATTTCTAGCTTACTTGTTATTTCACCAAGTTGGTGTCTTTCCTTACAGTTTACTGCTCCAGAAAAAACTCCATAAATTTGAACTGGCATGTTTGGCTAACTTGTGTCCTGAGACAGCTGAGGAAGCGAAAGCTTTGATTCCTAGGTGAGCATTTGTATATTGTAAAAGGACTGCTTTATACTTTCCTGTGATTTAAAGCCAGCTATGGGCAGATGCCTTCTCTTCTATCCAGCTCTGTTGATGGAACAAGTCTTTGTCTTGGTCTTTCTTCACCTACCTATTGATCTGACAGTGAGGCAATCTTTGCAAGTGTCCCTACTGCACTTCTGACAGCATTTACTAGATTAAGTGTAAACAGCTTAAATTGGGGTTCTTACCCCACCCAGCTATCTTTGGGGTTTTTGTTGGGTTTTGGTTTTTTTTTTTTCTTTTTTCTTTTTTCTTTTTTCTTTTTTTTTCTGTTGGAGCAAATGATATTGCTCCTTTGAACTGTTTTGTGGATGATGAACAGGGGAGCAGTAACTTCTTCGTATCTTGATTTGTTACCTCATAGTTTGAGATAGAAGAGGGAACGAAACATTCATCTGAATAACAGTTTCTTCCCTGTATGCTAAGATTTCATAGCAAGACTGGACTGGCTTATGAGCATGAGGCTACACGGACTTCATTTAGAGGTCTATTTAAACCTGCACCTGCCTTGCTTTTTTGATAAAACGTTTTGAAGTTATTCAGCAGAAAGTTCTGGGAAGGATGGAGCTTTGTCATTTAAAGAGGAGGCACTGCACAGGGATTAGAGTGGTATTTGTGCAGTAATGTTACAGGCAGATCCTGGTGGAGCCATACAGGTGGGTGATGATGGTGTGGGGACTGACAGGAGAGAATTACAACTGTCTGAAGTGAATCTGGGGGAAGATTACTTTTAAAACCTTTAATGTACCCTCATTGTTCTTATCTTGCAGCCTGGAGGGCCGATTTGAAGATGAGGAATTACAGCAGATTCTTGATGACATTCAGACCAAACGCAGCTTCCAGTATTAAGGTTAATCCTTTGACTGTTTCTCAGCCTTCTGGGCCAATCCAGTTCCTGGCTGAGTAAGGGAAGTTGTGGATACAGGGTACTCGAGTGCTGTGTCATCCACAGATGCATTCAAACTGGAGATCAGTGTAGTCCTTTTGCTTTGTTCCATGTCTGTGTTGGTAAGGACACCTGTATTGTGAGAGCCAAAGAACCTGAAAAGCGTTTTCCCAGTGGGTCAAGTATCTGTTTCTTCCAAATCCCTCTCCCCAGTTTGGGAATTTTCAACGTTTCTCTTTTTTTTTGTCAGAAACATAGATGTGACTTCTTTTGTTTTATGAACTTATAAAAGAGATGGAGAAACTTGTTTTTTGACTCTCAGAAAGTTTGGTGATGGGCAGCATCAATTTCTGTGGGGTTTTTTTTGTTTTGTTTTTTATTGTTTCATCAGGACGGTGGATTTTTACAACTTCAATAATTTTCTACTATTGTTTAGTGTAAAATTAAAATATATTTCTAATTAAGGTCACGTGTTTTATAAACATTAGGTGCGTATTATGATTTTATTAATGAGGATCCTTTTGATAAACAGATCCTGTGATTATTAAGCTGTGTTGGAGATCTGGGGACTCCAAGTGTGTAATAACGCAAGTACAGTTTAGGACAGGTCAGACAGAGGCATTATTAACTATGATGATAGCAAGAGAACATTTGGGCAGCATCTCCCCCTCTACTCCCCTGTTCTCTGCCAAGTGATTGCAGACACCCAACCTCTATACTGTTTCAGAAAAGAAAAAGGTGAGGAAAAACAATCATTTTTGTTAACAAACCCAGGTATCCATCCTGGGAGGGATGGACTCCTTAAGTAGCTTGCTAACTGCCACAATTCCAAGAAGGAATCAAACAGTAAATAACGTGACAGTATGGAGGGATGGCTCTTGGTGGAGCTTGTGGGAGCAGCACACTCAGTATTATCTTTGCTAAGAAGCGGGGAGTTGGCAACAATCACAGACTGTTAGCTTTTAGACAAAATGAGTGTTCTTTTAGTTTGGGTAAACTTCTTAGCCAGCCCTCTCAAATCTTAAATATCAATAATTTGACGACCTTCCCTGGAGGAAGGGAAAATTTTGCTGGAAAGAACGTCTGGGACAAAGAGGAAGACGTGTGTTAAGTCAAGGCACTGCTTGTGACAATGAGCAATAGAGTTTCACTGATGTTGCAAAAGGGAGAGAAATACATTATTTCAGCTCTTAATGGAAACATACTGTTGCTGCTCTGCTGGAAGGCCGAGCTGGTTTATGACAAGTGGTTGGGCTACCCCAACCGAATCACATTACCTGCAATAGCATGTTTTTTCTGTGCTTTAGTGGCATCCGCTGCAAGCCAATAAACCAGACATGCCTTTCTAATTAACCACCATAACTTCAGCTGGATCAGAATAATTCTAGCTAAAGAACAAAGATAAAAGCAAGGTGGCACAGTGAATCTTTATTTTATAAACTGAGTGGCCCATTTTGATACAGGATGTGCTTTCCAGTAGCTGCTCCTGCCGTAACTCGGGTTGTCCTGGGAAATGTTTTTGTTTGAGCAGCTTTAAAACACTAAAGCTTTTAAATACATAGACTCTCATATCTTATTAACTAATTTTTAATAAAAAACTCAACAGTCTAGACCTCTTTACCTGCACTTCTGGGTAAAAGGAAGTGTTAACTATGATTGGGAGGCATTACTACTTGTTGATAGCTTTGCAAGCTAGTGTAAGACTCCTGAGGAGGAGCGTAGCAGACTCAGCGATCTGAAAGTGATCTCAGGAGATCTGCCGTATCCTCCAAACCCAGAAGATTCTAAGCAGTGAGCGCAGTCCTTCTCGGCTGCTGCGTTCTCAAACGGGGTCATCAGGACGGGGGAGAGCTGCACGAGAACCGAGCAAGGTGCGATTCTGCCTGGTGAACATGCAGAGTATGGACGTGAAGCACGACAGCGCTGCGCGAGGCGATGCG